TTTTGTCTCTGTCATTTTAAAAAGTGGGATTTTCACTCAGGAGGCTGAAGCAGGATCACCACAAGTTTGAGGCCAGCCTGGGCTAACACAGTGAGTTCAAGGCCATCCTAAGATACATACTGAGACCCTGTCTCAAAAAAACAAACAACTAAGAAATGGGATTTAGCCAGGTATGGTGGGAAATGCCTGTAATCCCAGCACTTAAGGAGGCTGAGGCAGGAGGATAGTTGTGAGTTCAAGACCAGCCTGGGCTGCAAGAGAGGTCAAGGCCAGCCTGAACCGCAGAGCAAGACCCTGTCTCAGAAAGCTTTAACAAAAAAAGAGATGGGATATTGAGGTGTTTTGTTTTGTTTGGGGGTGGGTATTTGAGTGTGACAAGGTCTCTATATGTTGCCAAATTGCCCAGGCTGGGCTCAAACTTGAGATCCTCCTGCCTCAACCTCTCAGAGTACCAGGATTACAGATATGTACCACCACATCTGGCTGATCATATGTTTATGTGGTTCTTCCAGACTAAACAGCCTTATTTACCACAATAAAATCTTTGGCATAAAAAGATCAGGACAGCATTGCAATCTAATCTGTAATGAGGTAAATTTGCCTCATAGATGTAGATAAATCTAAAAATAGTATAAAATACATTTTAAATAAAAGACGATCTAGAAAAAAGATATTTTGCAATTAGCAGTTAAGATTAGCATTCTGATATATAAACTCCTCTATTTTCAGCTCCTGGTTAAAATCTCATTCCTAATGCTGGGCGAGGTAGGCCACGCCTGTAATCCCAGCACTCCTGTAATTCCAGCACTCCAGAGGCTGAGGCAGGAGGATCACTGAGTTCAAGAGACCAGCCTGGGCTACAAAGTGAGCTCAAGGCCAGCCTGAACTGCATAGAGAGACCCTGCCTCAAAAGAAAAAATCTCTATCAAATACTGAATTTACAGTAAAGGTAAAGGTAACAGTAAAGGTAATATCACATGTCAAATCAAACCTCATAAATAACTTGATTATCACATGTGAGAATATGTATAAAAGAGTATTACAATGAAAGAGTTAAAGTTTTATATCATTCATATTATTAGAGAATTTCATTATTAAGTGATAGAGGAAAGTAAAACATAAAACTGAATTTAATTACTTATTTGCAGTAATGGGAATTGAACCCAGAACCTTCAAAAAGAGCTATGTTCCCAGCCTTTTTCATTGTGAGATAAAGTCTCACTAAGTCACTAAATCCTCCCACAATCTTCCTCCCTCAGCCTCCCAAGTGCTGAGATTACAGGCATACGGCACCATGCCTGGCTGGGAAAAACTTTTTTAGAAGACCAACCTTTGCCAAGTATTAGAACTCAGGACAGTTACAAAGAGAAACTGACAAATGGCTTTATTACCAACCAGAGAGATGATAAAATGGGGAAGCACCCCTACTACCTTATGTTCTACAGATAAGACACAAAACTAGAAAAATGAGTAAAACAGGAAACAAAAGAAGGCGGACAGTCTAGTTTTAATTATGTATAATCAAACTGCTCACTCCACAGTTTCTTGGATATGCCTGGTTTTTGCCCTGGTGTGGCCACTGTCATTCACTTCACCTTGCGCCTTCTAAAGTAAAGGTAAAGGTAAAGGTTCTCAAACCAGGAGGAAGTGAAACTACCTTCCTGGGTGGTGTTTACAGACTGACTGGGATCGAAACTGAGGCCTTTGGCTGCTGGAGACAACTCTCATGGGGGGGGGACAGAAAGAAGCTAGACGGTCAGCCCCCCAAAAGACTGAAACAGTAGACACTACTCACGAGACAGGCCACGACCTGGCGTACCCAGCACAGGCTTCGCAGCCAGCCCGAAGAGAACTTGAATCTGGCCTCAGCTAATTAGCAGGCGATAAGCAGTCAGCAAGGTATACCCAAATGGTCCCTTACTGCTGTTAGTCTGGGAAACATTTTCACTGGTCTGTGACCAAATGAGGAGGCACTAGGACAATATAATATAGTTAATAAGACTGAACTCACTGTTTTTATGTTGTAATGATGAGCTCCCTCCCTTTTGGTGATAAAAATCCTTTCTTTTAAAAAAGGATGGAGACAGTAGATTGCAGCAGTTTTTAAGAAGGTCCTTACTTAACCTTCACAGAATCAAATGTTGGCAATCTATTATCTGGTCCCCAAATGTCCCCTACTCACACATTTTTTGTCTGTTTTTGTTTGAGACATGGTCTCGCTATATTACAGCTCAAACTGGCCTCAACACTATCTGGACTACACATGATTTTTTAAAAAAAACTTGTGCATAAAGTCCAGCCTGGGTAGCACACAATTAGAAGTCTCATTTTCTCATCAATAAAATAGAGGAGTGGGGTTCTCTTCTGCCTAACTGTATGTAGTAATATAAAATATTTGGCCCTCAGAGCTTTACCATGATCATGAACTTGATTTTGATTTGAAGGTTTACTGAATAAAACCCATATTCAGGCAGTCTGGCACAGGGGTCAAAGGACAAGCCCCAAAGTCAAACTACCTGGATTTAAGTGCTGGCTTTGTCTTTTGCTACTTTAGTGAATCTGAGTCAAGTCAGGACCTCCCTAAATTGCTCCCATCTAATCATTCATATGGCAATAAACAGTAACAGGTAGTAAGTGGGGGCTGTTCTAAGATTTCAATTAGACAATCCATGTAGGATACCACAGTGTAATTGTATGTTAGTTATCATAAGCATTATTGTTATAGAGTAAGGTGGTCAGAAGTTGCTTTCTAAAAGCCTGCTAATTTTGTCATCAACATCCTTTAAAGATGAAATCCGTATTAAGACACTATGAGGCTAATCATGATTAACATCCATTCAAAATACCCCGAATTAAAATCTCTAGGTCAAGAATGACGCTCTGAATTGCACAGATCCAGGCAGCATCAACTGTTATCCTAAACATTATTTACAGAATTGATATAATATTCATTACTCTTAAAATTTGTAAATATTGATCAAAAGCAGTATAATATGCAGCCATATAAACAATGACTTTCAAAAAACTACTAAATTTTAATAAGATAGTTCAAATTTTTAAAAATCAAATGTAACTTATTCAGCATAAACTTTGTTCTCCAAAATGACTTCTCAGAAAATAAAGATTTTAGTTTATCTGTTTCTTAAAATATGGCTAGTTTAAAAGCTCAGCGTGGTGGAACGTGCCTGTAATCCCAGCACTCCTGAAGCTGAGGCAGGAGGATCTTTGTGAGTTCCAGACCAGCCTGGGCTACAAAATGAGCTCAAAGCCAGCCTGAGTGAGACCCTGTTTCAAAAAGACCAAAAAGAAAAAAGGAAAAAAAAAAGCTAGTTTGTCTGAAATTAGTCAACATGAATTAGAACTTTAGTTTAATATAAAATTTAATACAGATTAAGCTTTTTATGTGAAAATAAATACAAATTAGATAAGAACAGTATTATCGTGGCTTTTAACTTAACAAAAATGGTAAATGTTTCTCCTCTAATGTGTTTTCCTAAGCACATTTAAAAGACAAAAATGTACAAGAATATCTTCTAAGGTGTAACCCATAAACAGGTCTTTTTAGTAACACCTATTAAGCAGGAGTACGTTATTCTCAAAAGGATTACAGAGCTATTGCCTAACACTACAAAGGCTGTATGAGGATTTGTGGCCTCTATATCAAACTTAAAGGTTTTACCGCTACCACAAAAGAATTTAATACGGGTTACAAACCAAGATCCAAGATTAAAAGACAGAATTAAACTTTTTTTCTATGTCTGCAAACCACGTAACATAGCAATAGTGTTATAATAACAAGTCACAGCAGTTATATTTACTACAAACAAGATGTATCTATTTGGGAGAAATAAATGTTTCTTCTCTAACTCCCAGAATATTTGAAAACTAAAGAACTGATGAGTATTACTTTGTAATTAGCTTAAAACACAAACCATGTTTCAGGAGGGAGTGGAGTTATGAAGTCAGACTACTTAGTCTCAATAAAAGATCTCACTGAAAACTTCGTATTGTCTTGGACAAGTTTCTTAAATTTTGGGAGCCTTAGTTTCTCCGTGTGTATATAGTGAGATAATAACATGCCTAACCCATCAGTGACAACAGAGCTTCTAGTGTTACCAACAATCGCAACACTAACAAATAACAAAGCTCCTGACTGCTTTGTGGAAGTGCCTGCCAAGAGCATTACTAAGGTAAATCGACAGCTATGAGAGGATGAAACGCTTTCCAAACGCGCACTTCTGTTGAGGATATTTTGGTCACGCTTCTCACCAAAGGCAACATAAATGTCCTACAGTCACCTTCCAAAACAAAAAGAAAGAGAAATACTGTATAAGGCCATAAAGTGCAACAGTACACGCCGAGTTGGCTGGCGATCCCGAGCGTCAAACACCTGCCAACCCCGGGGCACAGATGCCATTTCTTCACAACAGACACAACCACTGCAACCGTACAACTTCCTACCCTGCAGCAACTCTGTCTTTCAAAGAACACACGCACAGTCTAACTCCTGTCACCCGCTCATCCCGGCTGAGCGAGATCCTGCCAAAGGGTTTAGGGTCCCAAAGAAGGTTTTTAACGGGCGCCGGAGCAAAAAGAAAGATGCTCGTCCTCTGGAGGCCACCGGGCTGCACCCGGGGGCGGGAGGCTGGAGTGGGGGAGCCCCGGCCTCAGCGAGCCGGGAGAGCGTGAAAGCGCGCCCCAAAGCGTGCACCCGGAACAGCCGCGGGCGGTGGCACCGGGGGTCCCGCCCGGCCGACCCC